ATGTTGTTTATATAGGGGTTGAAAAGAGCCGTTACAAAATCCCTCAATAAATTTCGTAACGTTCGTCATAATGTATAGTCATTATGCCCATTTTAATTACAAATTAAAACACATTAAAACATATTTTAATTGCATATTTTAATTACAAAAATTTATTAGAATTCATTAAGGCAAAATTGCCTTTTCTTTAAAAATATCCAACACAAACTCCATATTTAGCCAATGCCACTTAACCTTACCTCTACAAATATTTCTGTTTTTCTGTTGATCAACGCTAAATAGTTGCTAATATTAGAGAAACATAGAAATACAGTTTTTCCTTTCTAATAAAGGCGTATATTCGGTTAACAGATCTCTCAACAGCTATCTCGATAACTGGACAACCGATTCCTTTCATCTTAATCTTCAATATAAATTCTAATCCTCTCATTCTTTCTTTTTCAATTCCATATCAAATTTATTCCAGCTTTCTTCTTCTTTTGTTGAGCAGAAGCTAGCAGTCTTCGTGCTCAAATGGCTCAAGCCTCAGAGATGAACAATAGCGTGTTGAATTCGACAACTCCTAGTGTAGAGCTAGAGTGTTTCTCCCCTTATATGATCATCACCAATGGAATATGGCTTGACGACGATCCTCTAAGATACTCTCTCCCTCTTTTCCTTATCCAACTCCTTATAATAACGCTGACCAGTCGCACTCTTAATGCTATCTTGAAACCCTTTGGCCAGCCTATGGTCCTCGCTGAGATCCTAGTATGTTGATGCAAACAAGTATCATATTTTTCTTATTTCAATATTAAATTTTGATAGATGATGATTTTTGACATTTACAAATGCAGGCAGGGATGCTGCTGGGACCATCTTTTGTGGGAAAATTCTTTCAAGGATTTCAGGCTCATTTCTTTCCACCAAGAAGCATCAGCATACTGTCGTCGATGGGTAACTGTGGCCTACTTTGCTTTGTGTTCATGGTTGGAGTTGAGATGGACATAAATGTGCTAAGGCAAATGAAGAAGAAAGTAATGGCTATCGGAGCGATTAGCATTGTGCTTCCTTTTGCGATCACCTTGACTGCTGCCTACCTCTTTCGCGGCTATTTCCTTGAAGAAAAAAAGAACAATGCCTTTTATGTCTATCTCGCTCTGGCTCTATCAATCACTACATTTCCTGTGCTCGCTCGAGTCCTTAGAGATCTCAAGCTTCTGAACACAGAGGTCGGTCGAGTTTCCATATTGTCCTCTGTCGTCAACGATCTGTTCTCTTGGGTGTTGCTTGCCCTTGTCGCTGTACTCTCAGGAACTATGAGAGCCGATAAAGGGATGGACGGCCTACCATTCCTCTACATCTTGCTGTCGAGCCTGGGCTTCTTTATCATCTGCGTTGTCTTGGTGCGACCGGTATTAAAATGGCTCGTGGACAGGACCATATGAATTATTCTCATAATTCCGGTCCTCTTATTCCAAAAACTCCTAAAGTGAAAATATTAAAGTTTTACCCGGGTAGTTAGCCAGGTAAGGATAGTAATAGAGGTTGATCAAAGATCAATTAAGTACCTCGTTCCTTGCAGAGCGCATTACGCAACCCTTAAACCTTGCCTTAGACACCAACTAATCCAAGAAAACTTGAATCGGTTCACTCAATGAGTTTTTGTTCCTTAACAATATATAGAAACTTTAAAATATTTTCTGCAAGCATTTAATTTGCCTAAGCAATTATACTGCAAGCATATGTTGGATAAGGCCGAGGAGGGGTTTACCTATTGATGTTCGAACCTCATGATTTTCATGTCTTGAGAGTAAAACTCATCTGCTGCAGACAGCTGCCACTTAAGTTGCTGAACAAATATGCATTCACTTTTACCACCTTCTGTACTAAGCTTATTAGATGTATAAGCACTTCAAAGTATGGAATTATTAATAATAGAAGGTACCATATTCATAGTTTAAAGAAATGAAAGCATTAAACCATAAACAAAACAATCCAGATATTTCAAAGCATCTATGCATCCAGAGTTTGTTCTCTTTATTCTTGTCAAAACCATGCATATGAAATTTTTTAAGAATAAAAATATACACTGCTGCAAATTTATAGCATTTTTCAAATGCGTGCATATTCACTAGCACAAGGGGATAAGGGTAGGTTTTAGATGATTCTAACAAATATAAACTAGGCTTTTAAAAACCAATAAAGGTTCTTTGATATTCGTAACTTACAATAATTATTGATTATAAACCAACTATAAGACAAATGTAATTAACTGTTAAATTGAATTAACAGAAATATTTAACTACAATTTTTTAATTATTAATTTTTTTTAAATAACCAAAACTGTTTACATGAACAGTAAATTTTTAAATAAAATGAACAGTGCCGTTTTCAAAATAAATGAACAGTAACATCATTTTTAAAATTAAACAGTAACGTCATTTTTAAGAATGAACAGTAACACCATTTTTATAAATGAACATTAACATTCTTAAAAATAAATAAATAGTAACGTTCTTTTTTTTAAAAATGAACAGTAACATTCATTAAAATGAATGAACGGTAAACTTTTTTAAAACATTAAAAACTGTTTAAAATGAACAGTAAATTATTTTATAATGAGCAACAATTCTGATTAAATTGCGAACAGTAATAGCAAATTTTTTTATTTTTATTTTTAATTCGGATGAATAGTACTATCTCAAATGAACAGTAACTTTAAAAATTATTTTTCCAGATTTAAATCAAAAGCTATAAACATCTCAATCTTCTAGATTGTTGGGAATTTATCAAATAAATAAAGATTATAGCATGAATTTAAACCCGGAAATTAAATAAATAATACATCAAAGATAGATAATATAAATTAGAGAAACAGGCCTGACGGGAGCAGTCGTGTAAACACTGCTCTAGAAGATTGAGGACCCGCCTATCGCCCTGGCGCAGATGATCCCTTCTCCCCTAGCGGTAAAAACCCTCGGAAACGGCCCGGCCTCTGCACTCGGGCGAGAGTGCAGAGCTTCAGCTCAGATGAAGAAGTTGCCCATAAAGTAAAACTAAAGTATAGATGAAAAAGATATGTAGAGGAGAAAAGAAAACAAGATAAGTTTTCCACATTTTTCTTCATATTTCTTGAGCTCAACATATGTTGTTTATATAGGGGTTGAAAAGAGCCGTTACAAAATCCCTCAATAAATTTCGTAACGTTCGTCATAATGTATAGTCATTATGCCCATTTTAATTACAAATTAAAACATATTTTAATTGCATATTTTAATTACAAAAATTTATTAGAATTTATTAAGGCAAAATTGCCTTTTCTTTAAAAATATCCAACACTAATCACCAAGTGGGTTGACTTGTTGCTGTTGAGTTATTTGTATAAGGGCACTCTTACAAATAGGTCCTCACAGCATTGACTAATTACTATCTAAATAACTCAACAAATATACAATCTTAACTCACTTTATTTTTTTTGTAAACAATGTGTAATTACTATCTAAATAACTCAACAAATATACAATCTTAACTCACTTTATTTTTTTTGTAAACAATGTGTAAACTGTAACCCCACTCAACACGTTCTTCTCGTACAAACTAATCACCAAGTGGGTTGACTTGTTGCTGTTGAGTTATTTGTATAAGGGCACTCTTACAAATAGGTCCTCACAGCATTGACTAATTACTATCTAAATAACTCAACAAATATACAATCTTAACTCACTTTATTTTTTTTGTAAACAATGTGTAAACTGTAACCCCACTCAACACGTTCTTCTCGTACAAACTAATCACCAAGTGGGTTGACTTGTTGCTGTTGAGTTATTTGTATAAGGGCACTCTTACAAATAGGTCCTCACAGCATTGATTAATTACTATCTAAATAACTCAACAAATATACAATCTTAACTCACTTTATTTTTTTTGTAAACAATGTGTAAACTGTAACCCCACTCAACACGTTCTTCTCGTACAAACTAATCACCAAGTGGGTTGACTTGTTCATCAATCAACTAACATATGCATAAATTAGTATCATTATGTATAACATCACATGAAGGGCCACGTTCTTTGTTAACTACACTCTAATCAACATGGCATCAACCTGGCAACTTCTAAAAATTTATAGAATGCAGCAGACTGGTCTCAATATCTATTATTCTTTAGCGATTTGGTTCCTCCTTGGCGTGTGTAGATCACAAACTTAAACCAAACAAACGCCTTTGCTAAGCTCATTAAGGACTAGTTTAACATTCATTTTACCCAACAATTTTAACTAAACAGAAACAGTACATGTTAAAGATTCTCAGTAATCTGAATTCTTCCACCGTCTGTGCAATTGTCTATAATATCATCAGTTGGTCGGTAAGTATAACATGAAACTGGCTTCATCATATACTCCTAAACTTGATCCGCTGAGATATAACAATGACTTGAATCCAGTTCATGCACAAAAAAAATTGTCATCAACCTTTTCGTATAAGTTTATCTTTCAAATTAAAAATCAAAACATGATCTTACTAGCCTAATTACTTATTAGCTTGCTAGCTGTTCTAAATCATGCAATGCGATGCACGTTGAGACTTGGTAGCGTACCAATTAATTAGAGCTAATTTCCTTGATTTTTTTTAAAGCCAATTGGCTCGCTAACCTAAAGGTACGTATTCCTTAAGAAGGGAAGTAGTTGTTCATGGAGCCCTTAATTTGGGGCCTTAACAAATTAAGGATTTGGTAATATGATTTGGTTCATGGCCTGTGTCAGAGGTCCACCCACCCCAGGATATGAACAGGTTTGCTTCGAAGCCACCCAAACAAATACAGTGAGATACGAAAAAGGATTAGTTACGTGGTGTGCTATAGAAGATGGCCCAGTGCAGACCTCACATCTTTCTTACTTTAATATTGTCCCATATATGCACAGCTAGCTAACCACTCTATTATTTAAAATCCCTTGGTTAGATCTACAAGCCGCATATATATATAAAAGGGGACAATGATGCACAGATGTTTGTATCAATACATGAACCACCTAGTGAAAAGAGCTTAATTTGTAAGTGTTAAGATTCGTTGTCCTGTGTTTAGCTACAGTGAGGATGAGTATGAACTTTAAGCTAATCACAGTATGCATCCTCTTGGGCGTATTTAGTTGTGTGCATGCTGATCTCAAATTAGGATTTTATTCTCAAAGTTGCCCGAAAGCTGAGAAGATTGCTCTCAACTATGTCAAGAAGCATATCCCTAAGGCGCCGTCTCTGGCGGCTGCCCTTCTGAGGATGCACTTTCATGATTGCTTTGTGAGGGTATGCTACTAATATTTCAGTATTTTATTTCTTTAGCTACACCTTATCGGCCTAATTTGTTGAATGTTGTTGTAGGGTTGTGATGCTTCTGTTCTGATAAACGCAACTACCAACCAAACAGAGAAATTAGCACCGCCGAATTTGAACCTTCGAGGGTTTGGAATCATCGACGGAGTCAAGAGTCTGCTTGAAAAAGAATGCCCTGGGGTGGTTTCATGTGCTGATATTGTTGCTCTCGTCGCTAGAGATTCAGTTGTGGTCACTGTAAGCCACTTCCATATGCTAATTTTTGTTCATAGACTTTAACTTTTTTTTTCTTCCTCTTCTGATTATTGTTATTATTTTTGGTCATTAAAATTATAGGGAGGCCCCTTTTGGAATGTTCCAACTGGGCGAAGGGATGGGTTCATCTCAAATGCAACTGAAGCTTTAAACCACATCCCAGCACCAACATTTAACTTCAGCGTTCTTACACAGTCTTTTGCTAGTAAAGGACTCAATGTAACTGATCTCCTTCTGTTATCCGGTAACTATGCAATAATTCATATATACTCATAATTTACCTCAAGTTGTAGCTTAATATGTATTCTCGTATTGTGTATTAATCAGGAGCTCACACAATTGGAGTTGCTCACTGCGGCCTTTCTTTCAGCAATCGCCTTTACAATTTCACAGGAAAAGGCGACCAAGACCCTGCTCTTGATCCCTTTTATGCCGCTAACCTCAAGAAGCTCAAGTGCAAAGGTCCTAATGACAATACTACAATTGTTGAAATGGACCCAGGGAGCTCTAGGACTTTTGATCTCGGTTACTACAAGCTTCTTCTAAAGAGAAGAGGTCTTCTCCAATCTGATGCGGCTCTCACAACTAACGCTGCAGTTAAATCTGCCATTACTCGGCTAGTTAACAGTCCCCTCGAAGTGTTCTTCAAAGAGTTTGGTCTGTCAATGGAGAAGATGGGCAGAGTTCAGGTGTTGACTGGGTCGCAAGGAGAGATCAGGAAGCACTGTGCAGTTGTGAATAGCTAAGTGTTTTTGAGTAGTTTTACTTTTGGCGTGCATTTGATTGGTTTCTTATGTTTTGGATGCGTGTAATAAGGCATTGATTTGAATATGTTTGCTTTGAGGTTTTGAGGGTATTTGTTGTTTTTCTGTGAAAATCAGAATGAGAAAAAATGAATTGTAATTCATGCATGTTCGTTTTATTCTTTCTGTCAAATGTATTTTACTTTTTTTTTCTTGTTATGCTACAGTTTTTTTTTGTTTCATTTTATTATTATTATTATTATTATTACTATTATTTGTGTTTAGTTACATATTTATGTTTAACCAATACCAGAACAACCAACTTAATTAATTGTGATTAGGTTAGGGCATGAAGATCGATTGGTTAAGGTCGAATAATTTATCTATGTTTAATAACAAATGGTTGCTGATAATATTGTAATTGGTTGTATACAGTGTTGTTGTGGTTGATTTTGATGATACAACTGAGATGATGACAATGAGCGTAAAAATTAGCATGCATGTTGGGCAACGACGTAGGTAATCACTTCACACTGAATCCATTGACAGTGTCTCGTTCTCTGAAGTAGAGCTTACTAATTAAACGTAGGGTTAATCTAACCACATGTTAGTTAATCAAAGATTGTAGTATAATTAAATAAGTGGCCAATGGATTACCGCCAGAAAGATGGTTTAGGAAAATTTGCCATAAGATCAGGCCAATCAGGCCCACCATTCTGTAGCTGGCAGCTTGACATGCACATGAATTTATCAGTAAATTAAAGACGTGCAAGATTGATATATAGTGTGTGAATTTTATTCCTCTGCAAAGGAAAGGACAGCGCAGGGAAACTTCAACGTATATTTAGGATCTGATGAATTTGATGGGATTTGGTGTAACATACCACATAACACACTGGGATCCGGATCATCTCCTAATGAAAAGCTCCAAATATATCCTAATAAGGAGATCTTATCCTTTCATTTTCATCATGACTTTTCATTTTCGCACCCATATATCCTTGTGGGCCCCCCTCCCAACTCTTCACAATTCTTCATTAGGAAATATTAGGATGAGGAGAGAATCCTAATTCTACAGAAAGAAGCTACAGATGATCTTTTATATTATTTTTTTAGAAAATAAATGTTGATAATAGTGTATTGTAGTGGGTTTTAGTCCCACATTGCTTGGGAGAACAAACCTCACACTCCTCTACTTGTATAAATATATGTGCATACTCAATATTCAATTCAAGGGAAATTTACCCAAGATTCTCTCTCTCTTACTTCAACATGGTATCAGAGCTAGGGCTATTTCCCTTCTAATAAAAATTTTTAACGCTTCTGCGTTCTTTTGCCAAATCTTGGCCTTATTGCTTTGCAGCCGTTTAATTTTTTTTCTGCCAGATATTTTGGCCTCAAGATTGCTGTTATGGCTCCTTCAGAGAAGATTCCCAAACCACCTTTGCCCCTCAATGATCAAAGTGACTGGGCAGGGTGGTCCACCATTGTCACCAATGCCTTGCGTGGCGCTGGTTTGCTTGATCATCTCACCAGTACGGGACCAGTTCCACCGTCCATCAGCACTGTTGCTTCATCCAGTACTATTGCCTCTGGCAGTGGTGATGTCGATCTTCAGACTGCTCGTGCTCTCTATGTCAAGGAGAGTTCAGAGTGGCAATTGCAGGAATTTCGTGTTATGGATTATCTCACTCGCTGTGTTGGCTCTGGTCTCACTGTCGAGATTGGCTCGCTTCCCTCTGCTCGGGCCATGTGGACTCGTCTCATTGAGCGTTTCACTGAGTGCTCGGGTGCACGGGAGGCATATCTTCTGCAACGCATAGCTCTACAACGCAAATGTAGTTCATCTCTGCAGTCCTATTTTGGACAAATGCAAGCTTTTTGGACAGAGTTACGCTCCATGCTTCCTGGACGTAATTCCACATATGAAGACTGGCTAGCCTGGTACGAACGGCATGAGGTGCATCAACTATTTCAGTCCCTTCCTGAATATTCAACTATGGCTGATCAACTACTTCATCAGCCACAATTTTCGACTTTGGCCTCAGTTATGGGAGCTCTCACTGCTTATGAGACCCGGCAACAGACAGCACGACTCAATTTGTCAACAGACACTCCTACCTCTTCACTCGAGACTGTTTTGTCTGTACCTGTCACTGCTCCTGTTATGAATTATACTTCTCCACAGGCTCCCTCTCCACAGGCTCGATCTAAGCTCTCTTGCAAATATTGTAAGAAGGAAGGACACCGCATTGAGACATGCTTCAAGCTTCATCCTGAGTTACGTTCCTCAGGTACTGGACGTGGTCGGCGACCCCCTCAGTCTCAACCCTCTCGTACACCAGGATTGTTGGCCAATGCTATACCTTCTACTACTTCAGACTCTACTATTCAAGCTATTGAAAGTCTTCGCCGTCAACTTGATGCTTTCCAACATATCACCTCTACATCCGCCGCACAACTCTCTAGTATGCATTTTGCTGGTTCTTCAGCTAATCCTTCGGTCTTTGGTATGAATGATCTCTGGATTTTTGACTCTGGTTGTTCCTTTCATATGACTTGTAAAGCCTCACTTTTATCCTCTGTCTTTACTTTATCCTCTCTTCCTCCTGTCCACAACAGCTAAAGAGATTATTCATCTTCGTCGCCTTCTTAGTGATTTCGGCATTTCTGTTACGACTCTTACTCCTCTCTACTGTGATAATAAGAGTGCCATCCAGATTGCTAATAATCCAGTATTTCATGAAAGGACCAAACATTTTGAGATCGACGCTCATTTTGTCTGTCACCAAGTTATCAAGGACAAGACAATTCTACTTCCTCATGTTTCATCCGCTAACGAGCTTGCAAATTTTTTTACAAAGGCCTTACATGTTCATCGGTTCCAGTTTCTTGTACGCAAACTCACTTTGTTTGATCCAACATGAGTTTGAAGGGGACTGTTGATAATAGTGTATTGTAGTGGGTTTTAGTCCCACATTGCTTGGGAGAACAAACCTCACACTCCTCTAATTGTATAAATATATGTGCATACTCAATATTCAATTCAAGGAAAATTTACCCAATATTCTCTCTCTTACTTTAACAATAAACATGAAAAGAAAATCGGAAAAAGGGGAAAAAAAAAAGTTCACGAAGTTGACTGGCCTGTTCATCGAATTTAGCACAGTGGAATTGGTGGCCTAATGGATTTGGGTATCGATATATGTTAATTTGTGGGTACATTTCTAAATAGATATTTGAGGGTAGCAGGTATATGATGCTGATTATGAGGATGATGTTGATAATGATAGCGAAAAAGATTTTTGGCTCGCGGGTGAACCGCGAGCCACCCAACTCGCAGAGTTGGGTACAGGGGCAGTGCTGCCCCTGTTCCCAACTCTGCGAGTTGGGTGGCTCGCGGTTCACCCGCGAGCCAAAAAGCAGAGTTGTAATGATAGTACGAAGCCTTGTGATAAAGTACAATCAAAGACTAGCCTGACGTAGTTTACATAATTTTATACAGTCCAGTTGCTTAACTAAATGCACAATACTAAATTGATGGGCATTATGATGCCTGCGTTGACAATATCATCATGTAAAAATGTTGTCTGTAATTTTATTAAGCCTCGTGGATAAATGTAAAGAAGGCAGAATTTATCATATTGAAGTGTTTTTTGTGTAAAATTAAACCAATGACCTGTTGAGCCTATGCTAATAGAATTTTTGTGATTATATGAATCCAAGTTTCATGCAGAATTCGCGTCAGAAATAACGAAGCAGAGTCTATTGCAGACTACTGCACACGTGAATCTAAACTTATGTTTTGGTCCCGTTCGGTTGCTTTCCTTTATTTTCCAAAAAAACGGTTTTCATTTACTTTTTTGTATTTCCGTCACTTTTATAGAAAATGTTTGTTTCGCCTAAAAACATATGGTAAAAGTAATTTTCACCACTTTCCTTAGTTTGATTCAACTTAGAAAAAGAACAAAGTAATTGATGTGTGAATAGATTTTCTTATTTTCTAGTATTTGGTTCAAACTAAAAAAAAAAGAAACTATGGTTATGATCACTACGGCGTGCTTACTACCCATATAGAACAAAATTAGTGCCAACATAAATTAAGGGGTAAACATACCCACCATCACGTAAAAATTGCTTATAATGAAAAACCCAATGACTATTTGAGGTAGTAATTTGCAAATCAATCAAAGATTTGAGGGATTGATTTCAAAATGTGAAAATTAGAGGGAGAAATTTTAAATAATTTTAAATTTTGAGTACACAATATTAACCCTAGGGCTCTGCTATGCTCAATTGTATTCATAGTAACAGTATGCTCTAAATTTAGGAAAGTATCAAGAGGACCAAAGTTTAAGACATGAAATGTTCATAAAAAAGAAAATTTCTCTCTGAAATCCCAAAGCATCATCATGGCCATTAGACCCCTATATAGAGCGCTAAAAGCGTCGCCCTCTAACCACGCCTCGCGTAAAAATTCCCAAACCCAAAACCCCCAAATCTCCATCATTTTCAGTCCCCACATCGGAAAATTCTACCCCAAATCTCCACCTACATCATCAACACCATCATCCATGTCTCCGTCTTCTCCTTAACCCTCGATAGCCGGTCGGATCCAACCAAGATCATAAATCCAGATGCAAATCTTTCATCGACTTCGTGCTCCATCTCAACGATTGCCTCAATGATCCAGTCGCCATGCTCACCGCCCTCTCCAGCTCGAACCCATTAAACCCTAGAGAATGCGGTAACCCTAGTGAATTTCCCCTCTTTCTCTCTGCCATTCATAGAAAATAAATGAGGAGTTTTTTAATGGGTTTTATTAAGTCTTCCTTTCTCTCTGCGATTCATAGAAAATGAATGAGGAGTTTTTTAATGAGAATTTTCCCTCTTTCTCTCTACGATTCATAGAAAATGAATGAGGAGTTTTTTGATGTTTTTTGAGTGAGGATTGTGATTTTCCGATTTGGCTGAGGTGGAACGCGACTTCCTCCACATTTTGCTTTCTCTTTTTGGCGAACTAAATTTCCAAAAAGAACAATTTTTTAAAACCGACCCATTTTATTTTTTTAATTTTTAAAATCGACCGATTTTTTTTATTTATCAAAACCTACATGTTTTTTGCCACGTCAGCCTAATTACCGTTCTAAATAGTCGGGGTTGCCAACATCGACTATTTAGGAGTGTGTTAAACCACAATTAGAAACCTTAAAACCTAAAACCTAAAATTTTATGTCCTAAATAGTCGGGGTTGGCAACCCCGACTATTTAAGACGGTGATTAGGCTGACGTGACAAAAACGGATCGGTTTTAGTAAATAAAAAAAATTCGGTCGATTTTAAAAATAAAAAAATAAATAAAATGGGGCTGTTTTGAAAAATCATTCTATCCAAAAATGAGGGAAACTGACATTTTTTTTTCAGTTTTCCTTTGTGTCAGAAGCTTTTATTTATTTATTTATTTTTTCCGTCACTTTTTTAGGGAGCCAAGCATGTCCTAAACTGAAAACCATAGGAAAGCCTATGATTATCAACATCCACATAATCTCTACAGTTTGTCAATTTATTAGTTAATAGTCGCACTCGTCTCATAAAATTTATACAGTACTACAATCCCATAACTAGAAGGAACTAATGAAGTTCTGTCAACCGAAGGAAAAAAAAGTAATTAACTATAAGAGTAATACTATTATGGATTTTTCATCGAAACCACCTTTAAAATAGGATCATTATGTAGATATCACTTTTTCTTTTTAATTTATGCATAAACCACTTTTAAAACGTTTCTTGTTTCAATCAACCACCTGGGCTCAATTTGAATTCAAGTTTTTTTTTTATTTTTCTGTAATAATCAGCTGTCAAGTACCAGGTATATTAGAGAGATGATCCCTAATGGAGGTTAGGTGATTTATTTATCGACAAAGATTAATTCAAAAGTGGGCCCAGGTGGTTAATAACGTTTTCAAGGTGATTTATGTATATTATAAAAATCAAAGGTGGTTTCTATATAATGACCCTATTTTAAACGTGATTTCTATGAAAAAAGAAAACTCTTCTATTGTAGATGTACTTTTAAAAAAATACTAATGCATCAATTAGTTAAATGCCCTGCCTTAAAAGAGAACCAATTAGCGAATTTTTTAGACTAAAAGATGAGCTCATGATGCAAATGACTACCCAACTGCACAGGGAAGTATTCAAACTTCAAAAGCTTATGCACTCATTTTTACAATTTTCAATACAACGTGTTAAAATCAACAAAAGAAATCAAATTACAATTTGTTCCCATCTTATTATCCAAACAAACAGAAAACTATGCACACTTCCAAAATCACAACACAAAAGCAACAAACTCTCTCCTAATTCACAACAGCACAATTCTTCCTTATCTCACCCTGCTTTCCTATCAACACCCCAGTATTCCCCATGTTCACCATAGACACTCCAAAATCCTTGAAGAACTCTCTCGGATTACTTGCCTTTACCTGGCGCTGAACATAAGATCTCGTTTCAGCATCTTGAAGAAGAGCACTGTCAGTACTGAACAGTCCTCTTCGTTTCGATACAATCTTATAGTAGTCAGTATCAAAACTTAAGAAGCTTCCCGGGTCCATTTCTGCGAGCTTGGTTGTGTCAGTGGGCTTACATTTGTTCTTCAATTTGATAACGTACTCACTGTCGAGTGAAGGATCTGCGTCGCCCTTTCCAGTGAAGTTGTAGAGCCGGGGGGAGAAAAATGAGCACTGAGAGGTTCCAAGGGTGTGCCCGCCTGGTTAAATTTATGTGTGAATATATGTAGATAGAGAGAGAATTAGACAAGGACAGATAGTGTAGAGTATAAACTTATAATCCTCAACCCTCATCACAAAATCAGAGTTTTCGTGGAATGACATGGTTCTTTGACATAGTATCAGAGTAATTCATGTTAAAATCAATTGAGCACGAATTTAAAGTGGATATAAAAATCGATATTGCTGCATGGGTCTAGGTTTTATCGTATAAAAAGGATGCTCAATTTACATGAACATGTTAGAGTATACTTTTTGGTTAATTTACCTCTCTGTATTTTTTTACCTGATAAAACTAATAGTTTGTACTATTTAGTGAAGTCAAAATGAAAACAAAAACAGTGAACAGCCTGCGAGGGTACTACTAGTTTGTACTATTTAGTGAAGTTGTTTCAATATTTAAGGTCCATTTATCTCTCCACAAGGTTTGGTCACTCTTCAACACCTATTATGCATCACCACAATTTATGAGCAAGTATTCTTACCTGATAGAACTACTAGATCTTTTACACTCAAACCCTTTTGCGCGAACGAGGCTTTCAGTTGCTGAAAAGTGAAGATTGGTGCAGGTAGTTGTCGAGTTTCAGCAATCAACGAAGCTCTTCCATCTCTTCGTCCAGTTGGTACCTCCCATGATGGCCCTTTAGACTGATCAAACAACAAAGAACACACATATATAACAAACCATTGTCACAATGTTATAGATAGTTTGTTGCAAATTTGTAGAGAATGAGATTGAATTGAGTACCAAATATACAGCATCTCTAGCCACTAGAGCTGTGATATCAGCGCATGACACAATTCCAGGGCAAGCTTTCTCTAGTTTAGCCTTAATGGTGTCAATGACACCATAGCCTCGAAGACTTAGATTGATAGGCGACTCTTTTTCAGCGACATTATTCTTTGTAGAATTCAATAAGATTGAAGCATCACATCCCTGCATGTTGCACACAAATTCAAATATCATGTATATGCAAAATTGATCAATTAGTTGCACCAATTGAGATGTAAAAGTTACTACGTACCCTCACGAAACAATCATGAAAGAACAACCTAAGTAAAGGACCAGCGAGGCTAGGTGCTACTGATATAACCCTTTTCATCTCATTGTAAACTATAGTCTCAGCATTAGGGCATGTCTTCTTATAGAATCCAACCTTCAAGCCTTGTGCATCTGCTGATCCTGATAGAAGAAGCATAATTGAAATAGGAAGGAAGAACTTGAGAACAAATTTCGAATCCATCTTTGAAGATGAAGGTAATCGATGTGCAATGGTTATCAACTTAGTTCGTTATATAGTGTCAATGGCATGGTAGGTATACACAGTGTTGATTAATTAAGTTGTTTATAAAGTTGGTGAAGGAAGGTTAAGAACTAGTTGCT